AGAAGCTCCTCAGGTAACACAAATGTAGCACCAGAATGTGTGAGAACCACAAGCTCCTGGTCCCCTCTGCCCTTGCCAACTTTCTGGAGTGAGGGCCCTGCTCAGACACGCACTGTGAATCTTACTTGATGGGCACAAGTTCTGCCTCCCACAGAGTCATCTTCTTCTACTCAAGCAGCACTCACCCAGCCCCAGGAAGATCCCTGTGTCTGAGAGAAACACAGATACATGCTACTGATCAGCCAGCAGCCCTCCCAACACCTGCAGTCAGTTCCCACCTGTCTACTTCTGGAGCTTCTACTGCTGAAATGACAAAAACAGCATGGTCAAGGATGTTAAAAGCTCAGCAGCCTAGGCAGTGTACACTGTCAAAAGGTACCCCTACTCCACACCTGGAGAGATAAAGTTCATCAAAGCTCAGAGTTCTGGACCTAGAATGAAAACCAGGCTCATCACCTAGGACACCGTGAACCTAGATGTGTCCAGGTACTAGCTCTGTGCAAGCTACGTGGATGAATTTAGATTATGCCACATGACCAAATCTTCCCCTCCACAGACACAGGTAAACAGTCCTGTGGCCAGTAAGACTTTCTTCAAATGTGGCATAAGGACACAAAATGCTCCCCCCCCCCACTCCTTCCGTGGGAAGGCAGCCAGTATGGGGCCAGGGCCCAGCTGCCCAGAGAACACTGCTGGCTCCTGTCCTTGAATGGATGGATAGTAGAGCTGCTGCAAGGCTCCTCTGTACTCTCAGCCTCCATGGCCTCAGTGGCATCCAGGCCTTGCCACACAGCCAATAAATAAACACTTGTTGAAAGCTCAAGTGAATGAGAGGAAAGGAGGATGGGATCAAGGTCAGAAAGATTAAGCAGCTTCCGGGCTCTTCTTCTGTGGGGCCCATTCAAATGCATTCCATCAGCCATGTATCTGACTCTTAGAGATGAATATTCATGTGCACAGGAAGGCAGTCAAAGCCATGCAAGGGTCACCAAGAAGTTGGCAGCACCACCTGCTGCCACCAGAACGGAAGACAGGCTCTGTACCAGCCCAGGTGGTGGTGGGTGGGCAGAAGGAGGCTGAGCCGGCCAAAGCTTCTGAATCCCCAGGCTGTGAGGCCTCCTCAGACCAGGTGGCCGCTTTGTGTCTGCAACTGAGGGGGAAGTGCCCTGCTGACCTGGCAGGCTTCAATTTCCCCTTCTCAGCTCTCAGCATTTCCTCCCAAAGCCACTTGGTCCCAGTGTTGCTTGGAAAGAACTGGTAATGACAGGGCCCACTAAAAATGGTGGCTTTCAAAACAGTGCTTCTTTCATCTAGAGGATACAGCTCTCAGTGGTATGGGCAGAGACTCTAATCTTTCTGATTTATAACCATCTCAGGATGAAGTACGGTCATGAAAATACACACTACTGGATTTTGCCAGAGGCCAAACAATAAACCCAACACCAATTGCTTGCTCTGAAGCCAGGTCTATAGTACAAGGAAGCAAAATGTCTGACTTGGCTTGCAACGGTGAGCTGGGGAGCTGGCACAAGGCCAGCCTCCTGCAGCTGGTCACACACATGACTGCTGAGAGTTCCCATGCAAACAGTGTGCTTCCAGAGTCTTTTCCTGCCGAAAACAGTGCTAGGACTGCAAAACCATCTCCATACAATACGTAACAGGTCCCATTAGCACAATGTTTTTCAGTTTCTAATGATGCGTGTGTGTGTACATAGATAGATGAAATTATATATAATAATATGGCCTTGCACTTGGGAGGCTGAGGCAAGAGGATCACCACAAGTTCAAGGCCAGCCTGAACTACATAGTGAGATCCTGTCTCAAAAACAAACAAACAAAGCCTCAGCTATGTGAAATATAATGCTAAAGAAAAACAGGAAGCAAGTAATTCACATTTTGACAATGCCCCCCCACCCCCCACCCCTTTGAGACAGGACCTCACTATGTAGCTCAGGCTAAAACTGAACTCACAATGACCCTTAGCCTCTGAAGTATAAGTGCTAGGATTACAGGCATGTGCCTCCATGCCAGGCTCTAAGCCCTCTTGATACTAGAAGCTGAGGTATTTTCCAGGACTTGCCAGAGCAGCAATGCGTGATGGTGTGACAAGTCCAGGATATAGTGCTTTAAGCAGCATACTTGTCACTAACATGGGTGAACCCAGAAGGATGAAGAGCCTCTCTGAGCTTTGTGGCCTGTTTGTTCCTTCACTCACTGGTAAAAATACCAAGTGCAGCAAAACAAAGAAGACCGTAAGTGGGGAAGTGGCAAGAAACAGCGAACAGGCAGACAAAAACTACATGTGGCCACTCTCAGACAGACTGTGATGCACTCTAGCCATGTTCTAAATTTTTTGAAATCATTGTCAATATTTAACATTAACAGATTTTTAAAATCTAGGTTTTTTCACTGTGTTCCTACTTTTATTTGGCCCAAACTTATTCTGCAGAACCTGTTTCTTTTCCTACCTTAAATAAAACTTTAGCACTATTAGAAGAAAATACCCACGTTTCAATCTTTACTTTAAAATACTGGAGTCACAAGAGCCAGAAAGGAGAAACAACCCAAATGTATAATAGTTGCTGGCTGGTTAAACAAAATGTGGTATATAACCATACAACGGAGAGAAATCACATACTCTCCACAAAATCACATACTCTGTGATTCTACTCATATGAAATGTCCCTAAGAGGTAAATCCTTGGAGACAGAAAGCAGGTCAGTGGTTGCCAGAGACTGGGTATGGACTTCTTTTTGGGGTGATTGAAATGTTCTAGAATTAGATGGTAGTGGTAGTTGTGTGACACTGCTAATGTGCTAAAAACCACTGGATTGCCCATTTATAGTCTCAAAAGGTGAATTTTATCTGAATTTTCTGAAGCCTGGAAGAGCAGGAGCTCCATATATGCCCATGCGATGCACACTGCCTCACCCAAACTGCCCCTCCTCCCCAAGTCTTGGGTAGCTGGGCTTTTGCGGCTTCCCAGCCTGCAGAGATTAGAGTTCAGGCTATGGAGGTAACTCTGACTCCACAGCTGGGCCTCAAGGACCAGGACCAGGACCAGGACCAGGACATAGCCCTGCCCATCATCATCCAAAAAAACTCACTATTTCGTCTTTCCTGACCAGGTAAAACACACCCCTGGTAAATAAGCCAGATGGTATAAAAAGGTAAACTGTGAAAGCCAGGTCCTCCTTCTACTAACCTTGTGCCATCCCTCTGTTCAACATGCAGTAGAAAGTAGGTAGAAAGGAACTATCCTAAGCTCACCCGGCTCCAGGATGTCTGCACTCTTTCCTGGGCACTGAGAAGTTACTCCTCATTTAATGGTCTCTCAAAGAACTTTGAAAGGGACAGAATAGTTTTCCTGAAAATATCCCATCTCTGACCTAAAGTGGCTGTCACCTGACTGAATAATCATTCTTCTGATTTGACAATGAAGTCAAAGTCACTCCCTGAGGAGCTAGCTATCCCCCTGGACACCCTGTGCATCTCCAGTCAACTCCCTCACATTGTCCATATGTGTGTTCGGCCAGACCACAACCATCACAGGCTCCTTGGAACACAGTGATGGACAATGAGAACCAACCTCCAAGCACCCTTCAGTGAGTGAGTGAGAACTCTGGACAATTCCACCTATCAAAGAAGCACAGGGCTCCATGTGGTCTCTGAGGCCAGCAAAAGCACAAAAGGGCACCTGGGGCTAACATGGCCTCCTGGGCCATGTCCAAGCACTTAGCAAGGCTGAGGCCAAGTGACCTAAATGCCCTCCTCTTTTTCCCTCATTCCTTACTGCATTTCCCTGCTGCCTGCTTCATACTATACAGTCCCTGTACCTACCCTAACTCCACCCCTCACACCCTCATGCCTTCTGACAAGCTATCTTCTGCAGGGAACATTTTGCTTCTCATTGCCTGCCCACCTGCTCTTCCATGAAGATTCGATGGAAGCAGCCTTCCTCCAGGATGCTCCTTCCTGCAGGATGCAAACCCTCTGGCCTCCTGGCTGCTCCAGGGTGCCCTCACATAACCTCCACACAAGCCTGAACCACACAGTACCATCACAATGCATTCCCTCATATACACACATGATCAGGGCCTGAGACAAGAACCATCACCTGTTCATCTCAGAATCTTCTCATGGCAGGACACAGCCTGGCGTTTGTACACTTTAGCAAACATCCAGGGAACTGAACTAAATACAAAAGATTATTCTAGTTTGGGAAGACAAAGACTCCAAGAGGTACAGGCAAGATGTTCTAAATATGCAATTCACACTTCTTGAGCAAAAAACTCATAGGTCTGCTCCAGCAAGCACAGTTTAGAACACCAAGAGGGGTTCCCAGGGCAACAGGCCAGAAGCCCTTTCCAAGGCTACGAGGCCAAGGCCCTGCCCAGCAATTAAGAAACTCATGTGCCCAGGAGCACATGCACAAACCAATTCTGTCATGTTCATGTTTTCATCTCCCTTCTCTAACAGTGGCACTGAGCAAAACTTGAAAATATTCATTTACCCTATTAAACTGATTCACTAGTGCTTTAAATAACGAGTAAGTAGAATTACAGCTAATGTATCCTCTTTTCCATTAGCAGCAGTGGTAAGCACATGAGAATTTCCAGCTAATTATAGCAACTTGATTTAGATATTTCATGCTGGGTATTACAGCTTCTTTAGCGGGGGCGCTGGATATAATTCTGAGACTGAGAGAACTAAACTATGTTCCATAATAGGAATAAGTCATTTCTGATACATGAGGGGGCAGGAGGAAGTCAGCCTTCCTTCTATCGAGCAGAAAACCATTCAAAGTGAAAAGAAAGAGAGCTCTGTGCCTCTGTCTCCAAGAAGAAGGTTGACAGCCTGTTGGGCATCACTTTCAGGACCAGAGGAGGCTGCACCCCCACCACAAAGGCCTGGACCAGGGGAGACGGATGTGAGGCCTTGCTGTGTCCCTCTCAACCATCCCAGAGACAAACACAAGCAATCAAGGGAGGGATCTTTACCAAATGATGGCCAGGGATCTGAAGAACTTGCAGGAGCTGCTGGTCCACCCCAGGGGTTGGTCTGATTAGCAGGTGCTGATGGGCCCCAGGGTTCCACCTTCTGGGCAGCAGCGCCAGAGCTGGGCAGAGCATCCATTAAGTCCAAAAGAGTAGTCTGCTGTGGATGGGAGCCGTGCTTTTAAGACAAAGAGAAGGGGATGGTTTTACTTTGCTACGGTTCTAGTAAATACCCATGCACTAGCCATAAATATCGCCCATGTCTCTTACCACAGCATAGGCACTTTGGAAGGAGCTAACAGGGATATGGAAATTCAGCTAGCCCCTCTCCTATCCTGCACCCACCAGCTCCACCCCAATGTTATTAGTCCCTACGAGAGCTTGGGCCCCAGCTATTTGCCATTTGCCAAACATACCACAGGCTTTCAGAGTTCAAAATGCCACAGTGCAAAACAAAAACAAAAACAAACCAAAATACCACAGTGCTCCCAAGATGTTTGCAGGATAACACTGTACTTTGCCCAGGCTGCAATTTCCTTCCACTCTCTCCACCCACTCACCCACCTAGCTGACAGGTGCCACGCAGGGCCACTCTCTCTCTTTTGAGGGCTGTCCCATCCTTGTCACTCCAGTGACTACCAACTTTGTTAGCAGGAGCCTGTGGCATCAGAATGGGGGAGGCCACTGGAGTCTCATGAAGTGGAGGTGGCTGAGTGTATGTGTGCGTGCGTGTACGCGTACCTCTTTGGTTGAGTGATAATGAGCTTATCCGGAAGAAAGCCATGCTCTGCTTATATCTATGTCAAAGTAGGAAGCCTGGCAGAGTACAACAGTGATATTGAAGACCAACACTATTGGGAACTCACCTGACCCAGGAAAATGTCCCAAAGCACAGCCATTTAGCTTATTTAACAGCCACCAATTACCGCAGGAAGCAAGAATCACCATCATCCTCATGTTATGAATGAGGGCACTGAGGCACAGGGACAGTCCTCTCTTGGTTGGGATGGGCTTTCAACTGCATCCTCATTTTGCTCACAGGCATGCAGGTTATTTACTAAGGGTAGAGAACTCACTGTGTCCCCATCACAGTGTTGAGGGGGTGCACAGGACCTCACAGTACAGCAACAACCACAGGACAGTCTCAAATATTTACCTTCCAGTAAGCTCTTACCTCTTTCTTTTTTGGAACTTTAACTGTGTCTCTCCGGCTTTCTTCCAAGGCCATCTGCAATCTGAGGTCATCACCTCGCCTAAGGCGTTCTTCCTGTAGAGGGACAATGGGAGACTGAAGCTGGTGGTAATCTTAATAACATTAACTGCTCTGGTGACTACCAAGGAACAAAGCCACTCCAGGCAGCAACAGGAAATGCATATTGTAGTATGTTATTCCAAAGGAGGATTCAAAAATCAACCCGTAAAACACAATTACTTCCCAATCCCAGTGTGTGCTCGGAAGGCTCTTTCCTTACCATACTACATATGATTTCAACCCCTTTGAGTTGTACCCAGGCACCACAAATTAGGGGAATATTTAATCTAAAATATTTTTTTCTCAAAATGAAAACAATTTTAGACCAGATATGGTGGCATGCACCTGTAATCCTGCCTATTCAGGAGTCTGAGACAGTAGGATCAAAAGCTTGAGGGCCAGTTAAGGACAACTTAGCAAGACTCTGTCTCAAAAAATATTTATAAAAAATTAAAAAAGGAGTTCAAGATCAGCCTGGCCTACAAAGTGAGCTCAAGCCCAGCCTGAACTGCATAGTGAGACTCTATCTCAAAAAGACAAAAAAAAAGAAAAGAAAGAAAGAAAAAAAGAAAAAACAAATTAAAAAGGGGTAGAAACATAGCTCAGTGGTATAGTATTTGCTTAGCATTTGTGAGGGCTTGAGTTCAATCTCCATCACTGTAAAAGAAATTTTTTTAAAAAGCTTTATAACGCTACTTACAGAAGCTGTATATCTCTTTTTAAATCACAAATCTGACAACTCAGGATGGAATTAGAAAAAATGAAAATTACATATCATTCCACCTCCCACTGTGGCTGCTATATAGTTCTGTGATTTTTAATAGAAATGACTCATGATACTTATTTAAGGCACAGTCACTATGTGCAAAAGACAGGTTTGCCCCAGCTTTTATATAATGATTATGACATATTCCTCATATTTTACTTATAAATATTAGCTTTAAAAGGTTCAAACCATCTACCCATCTCTGTGCTTCATAATCAGCCCTTCCAAGCACCCTCAAATCTAACCATTCCTACCATTTTTCTGTGAACACCATCTAAATGACAGGTGTCCTTGATCTACCTCTGGCTCCACTAACCCTGTGACAACTGTTAACCAAGGGAATGAAATCCACTAAGGTCAGTTTTAATTTCTCCTTTCCTGCCTTCCCCTATTTTAAAGTTATTCATGCCTATTAAAAAAAAATAAGTCAGGGGGCTGGGGATTTAGCTCAGCGGCATAAGCGCCTGCCTTGCAAGCAGGCAGTTGTGAGTTCAATCCCTGGTACCATTTTTAAAAAAAAGTCAGGCAGAGTAGCACACACCTGTAATCTCAGCACTTGGGAGGCTGAGGCAGCAGTTTGCAGCCAGGCTGGGCTACACAGTGAGTTTGAGCCAACCTAAACTACATATGAGACCTTTGCTCAGGGAAAAAAAAAAAAAAAAAAAACCAACCACAAGATAAAGAAAAATGGAAACTTAAAAAAAAAAAAAATTAAAATTAAAACCACTCATACAGTGCCCAAGGGGGTATGGTTCCGTGGTAGAACACTTGGCGAACATGTCAAAGGAGCTGGGTTACATTCCACCTACCACAAACCAAACAAAATTAACAGAGCATTTCCTTGTAGCCCTTCCCATCCCTCTGCCACTCACCAAATTGGGGCAGAGGGGGCGGATAGACCCACCCCTATCCCTCAAGCTGGTTTCTTGTGCCTGCCCTGTATGCTTACCCTTTGAAGAAGCCATGTGAACTCTGCTCACTCAGGGCACCTCAGACACTAGCTGTGTCTGCACGTATGTTTCTGAGAAGCACTTGTTTGGCAATGAATTCTGGAAAACTCTTCTTCAATGTGATTGTGCAGTCTCCCTCATGAACTGGGAGCTGTAGGTAACAATGCTCTTGTGCCATGAACCCAGCAAGCACCTGTGAGATGCTCTGAAAACAGGGCCTGTGTGACGATACTCCCTGGAAGCCACACCCTTCCAACAATCAATGTGGTGCAGACCCATCTGGGACACTGACCTGCTCTGCCACTTCTCTGCTCATGGCAAGTGCCAGCTGCAACTGTAGCTCCTCTTCTCCGCTAGTCTGTGGTCGGGCCTGCTCCAGCTCAGAGGACACTCGCGGGGAGGTGGCTGTGGAAGGAAGGCACAATCACCATATGCAAAGACAGGGTTGGCCCTTTTGTGCCAGGAGTTCCCCAGTTAGAGAACATTCCATTCCTATCTCACAAGATAGGCCAGCAAGAGCCCTATGACACAGGCAGAGGATAAGAATGGGCTACAGATTTGTCAGGTTAACTTCAAGTATCTGTCAAATGTGGCTTCACAACTATGTTAAAGTCATATAGTGCTGACAGAGAAGAGTCCTTTTAATGTGCAGGTCCCAGGCCTCCAGAAGATCGGAGCCTCAGTCTTCACTGAAGATCTGTGCTGCTCCAAAGACAGGGACTCACTCAGACAGAACCCAAGTAGAGCTCTGTAAGAGCTGGACCAAAGTCAGGCACATGGCATGGGGACCATCTGTTACGTCAAAATTTGATGAGCAAGACGAAGCCCACCTGTTTCCGTGACGATCCTGAATATTTTGTTGTCTAGCAATGTATACAGGTGCAGACATTTCTGCTGTACTTAGCTAGTTGGAACACTTGTAAACAGCTCCTGGAAAGATAGTTATTACTGAAGGGATGCGACATGAATTCCCAGCTGATATAACAAAGCTCAAATGAGGAAGATCTTCATTCACCCTGTAACCCAAGCAGGGCTTTCCACACCCCAGAATCCTGTAGATCAGGGAGTCTTGGATGTCTTCAGAAACCAGGTATAGACTTGGAGGAGCAGAAGGCTGAGTGCCCACATTTGTCCATCCCAGTAGAGGGTCCAGAGGTTCCCTAAAAGCCACATAGTAAGACCTGCCCTTTGAAGAAGGCTTGATGCTGCTACTGGCAGGTTTCCTGGCTCTGCATCCTCTGGGCTCTGTGCAGCTCAGCTCCCCACCTCCTGCCCCTGTTCCTCAGTTTACAGAGTTCAGCCACCATGAGCATGCCCTGCAGGACAGACTCTATCTTGCCCCACTATATTCAATCTAGGCTCACAAAAATCTCCCACATGGATGGCTACATGCATAGAGATGGGTGGGTAAATGGATGAATAGATGGAACACTCAACTTCATGTCTCAGTGGTAGTTTAAAATGTTTTAGCTGTGTGTTAGTTTATTTTCTTCTTTTATAATATGAATTCCACCAAATCTAACTAGCAGGATCTAGTCACATAAATGTTACTTCTAATTACATCTCTAATCTAAACCAGCTGCCAAGGATCTGCCTCTGGTAGAAAGTCAAAGGCCAGGAATGATTCCTGCCAAGGCAGCTTCTAGATAGCTGGCCCTGGTTATTTGAATGGAACAGGAAAAGAGGCCTAGTTCAGGCCTCGAAGGTGATCCACAGGACTGTAAGACAGCAAGAGGATGCTTCCGGGAGACAGCCTGGACAGTGCACAAGATGCTAAACTTCTCACACTGTGACACTATCAAGCAGAGACACTTCTCTATACATTTTTGAAAATATATCAAAACCTGTAGCATTAAAACTGAACATGGAATAGTTCTAAGCACAAAGCATAGTGCATTTGTTAGGATTTAATGTCATTTTTAAAAGAAATACAGCAACCAAGCCAGGCAAGGTAGCACATTCCTGTAATCCCAGCACTTGAGAGGCTGAGGCAGGACTACTGCCATGTGTTCAAGGCCAGCTTAAACTGCATAGCAAGGAGGGAGGGAGGGATGGAAAGGAAAAGGAAACCACTGCAGTTTTTTTTTTTTTTTTTAAAAAAAGGTAATTTCTCTATTTAAAAATCAAGTCATATCCCATCCTAGTATGTTACCACAATTATATTTTCCAAAGTAACTTTAGTATTCTTTAGAAATAAAACTAGATAGAAATGGAAAAGTCCTCAAATCCTTCTTAATAACTAGATTTCTTAACAATACACCAAAAAAAGTACACTGTTTTATTGGGTTTGTTCCCAAACTCACCGATACCAATCAGATGTTGGCTTTCTTGTGCTCAAGAAGCAAAGCTGCACCATCCAAATTGGAGAGAACAAAGGCAACCAGAGAGTTCTAGGGGAGGTTCTGAGGCCTCCCACCCACTAAATGCAGCTCCGCTATCCAAATTATTAACACTGAGCCCCCATTCCCAGCCTCAGTGCTGGTAAAGAATCTGAGAGTTGGCTCACAAAACCCTCAGTTTACATCAGATACAGCACCCGATGTCCTGTTTATAACCAAATGGAAATCATGAGTAAATAAAGAAAGAAGCCCCATACCCACTCCTCCTGTCTCTAAGAGTGTTCTGGAAAATGAGCTGCATCCTGGCAGGGTGAGCTGCTCCTTGGCTGCACAGCCACAGGGGTTGAGTCAGCCAGGCCAGGGATGAATGGATGAGGACCTGCTGCAGCACTGAGGACTGTCTTCTTCTCTGAACTCTTTGGCACACCTGCAAGGCCAGAGTAGTTTCAAACATAAATGTATGCTCACATCCACCATCAGTGATGCGATGAAAATGACACACAGCCAGAAATAGCTCACCACATCAATCAAGACCAAGGGTATTCCCCTGCATGCTGTGGTTTTTATAAACAGATGTATAGCTCTCAGTTCCGCAGGTGGCAGAATGAACAGTTACTGTCCCTCGACATCAGATGAGTGGGTCCTGGCATAGAAGGAGGATTCCAGCAGAAATGCTCTTGCCTTAGTGACAGCATCTCAGCCCACAAAGGACCTCTTGTGCACAGACACATGATAGGGAACACAGATGTCATTGTGTGATGGGCCTGAATGAACCCTTCTACCACCTGAGCCCTAGCACCAAAGAAGAAACAAGTGCTGGAGAAATGGGCCACTATCCATGCTGCTGGCTGCTTCCTCTCGCAGACACACTGGAGAGGGAAGAAGAGAAATTGTTAGTTTAAGCTAATCACTAAATAGCACCAAATGCAACATGGGCCTTCTTCTCTAAGACAGGTTTCTATGTTACCAGCCCCACCTGGAAGAGCTCAAAGTCCTCACTGACTATGGCCAGAAACTGTAACCATGGGTAGGATCACTTTCATTCTTTCTAGTCTGTTGCTGAACACTCCCTCATATTCCAGTCTAACAGGAAGAACAAGCAACTTCCTCCCAGCTTAGGGAGACAGAAGTTGCTCTAACTCAACTCCATTCCGCTTGCTCCAGGTACCATCCAGGCAAGGCCCCCTTCCCAAATGTCATCCTAAAGACAAAGGCGAGACTTCCTAAAGAAGATGCTACCATTGGCCGTTGGCCATTGACCAATTTTAGGTAACTTTTAAATAAGAAAGAAAGCAAAGCAGTCATACTGATAGAAAAATAGGAAGTTGGTTCTTTTTAGCTATATTTTGTAATTTTCCTAGAAAGTACGGAAGTAGTGGCTGCCAGGCACAGAATGCTGACTTAAGGGAACAGCTACCATACATTCGACATGATTACTGTGCAGTGACAAGCATGACTTCCAGTCTGTGAGCCTCACATAGACCACAGGAAGACACAGAGGAAGGGCCTTGACTGTGTCCTGGCCCTGAGACACAAATTCCAAGGTTGCCCAGCCACAGGGACCTGAAAAGACCTCATGCTAATCCAAGCATTGCTGCTGCCCTTTCTACCCCCACACATGTCAGCCAAGGGGAGATCAGGCTGGAGAAGGCACCAACTAGACAAATCCTGAGCCCACTTTGGATCAGCACTTGGGTCACATCTCAAGGGCCTATCCTTTCAGAGCTTCTGTGAAATGGAGACTAATGGGGCTTGTGGAGGACACAGCTGGCCCTCCTCTGGGGATTCCAGTCTTAATCCGGGCCAGTGGTACTGTCTCCTTCATCAGAGGGGCTGACACCCATACCCTCCACCTAACAGCAGAAAAACCCGCCCTTTCGGAACTCCATGGGAACAGGCCTGGGCTCTAGCCTACCTAGACTCTGTCTTCTTTCTGCCTAGGTCTGTCCTTCACAGGAAGGGGAGGAAGAGCTCACACTGAATCCAGGACCAGCTGAGGGCCAGTTTCCTTCATTGGGTGACCTATTCTTCAGTCCAAGTTCCTTCTTCATTACTACACTGCAGGGAAGCACTTGATAGTTCTTTCTCAATGTGTGACATCTTCCTGCAGTTCCCTGGGCTGCTTCCTGAGGCAGTTCTAATCCTAGCCTCCTACCCCACAACCTCCAGCCTCAGCTCAAACTTCTAAATGCAGGTGGCTTGGGTTTGCCTCCTATCAGGAAGGACTATTTTCACTCAAGACAAGATGAATTATGAGAAAACAAGCTCAGATTATCTCTAATACACATTTAAAAAGAGAAAAAGATATAAATATACAGGAGGGGGAATGAACCAAAGCAAGACCACAGCCGAATTACTGCCTAGCTATACTTTACAAAAGAGGAACAAACTACAACCATCTCCATGCCATGTGGCCACCTAGAATCCCCAGTGGTAGGATGGCTGCATATCAGGTGATGTCACACCACCACCACAAAGATGTCCAGCAAAATACTAACATGAGTGGAGTTCAAGTTCTCGATGTGATTCCCATGTCACAGGGAATTCAAGGTGAGGATGTAGATGAATGTGTCAAGAGGTCACAAACAGACCCAGGTAAGGGACGCCTCACTGGACGGCCAGCCCAGGGTCCTTGGCACATCAGGGCCCTGAAGAAAATGGCCCACATTCTCCCTTTGAACAGTCCTGCACAAGACATCTTAAAGACAACTGTCAAAATCTGTATTTGGCTTGGGTAGGAGGATATTAACAATTTCTGGCTTTGTGAGGTATGACAGTGGCTTCTGACTATCCAGGAGGAGAGGCATCCTCAAATTTTAGGGGTGGAAACACAATAAACTGGTTTTTTAAGCATAAAAGGCAGTGTAGGCTGTTCCTCTCAACCAGCCCACATGACGCGCTCCCTAGAAGCAGCAGCTGTTCACATTTTCTTGTGATCCCCACCAACACAGCTTTTCCCATGTGCCCCATGTATAGGTATAGGGGGTACAGTTCTCTTCTAGAGAAGGGGCTGTATCTTACTCTCTGCCATGTCCTGCATTTCCTAACTGGTCCTGACCTAGTGTA